TCTTGCAAAAAGGCAACCCATTTTCTTTCAAGAATACAAAAAGCTGCCTCCTATTGTTTCAACCAGGAGTTTAGACTGCACTCATCACCATAATATCAGAGTGCCTTACAAAGTCATAATCCACTATGCAATTTAATCCTCACTCTTCCTCTCCAAATAGGTTGTCCCCTCCCTCCGTATTGCCCCATTCCTCATTACAGGAGGAAAGCTGAAGTCAAAGTGAGTTTTACAATTGTTTCTCTCTACAAGCATGTTAACATAGGTAGGCCCCAAACATGTAACTCAGGTCTTAATGTATGTCACTTCTCCCCCCCCCAAAAAAAATGTTTATGCTGCTACTTGGGAAGGATTTGAAGAGTCTGTAATGATAAAATAAGTAACAGATACTGTTTTATTTTGAATTTAAAAAGATGGAAGAACACCAGTAAAGAAACTACAGAAAAACAATTTTTAGTTTAAAAAGATAGCTCAATACATGGTGCACTATGTTGATGGAGTAATAATATATGGGCAACGTTTAAATAAAGCATTTATTTTTGAAGTATCTATATAAATTCTTCTTCATATAAAAATGCATTAATAAAAACTTTAAAAACTCCTGGCCAAAAGCAAGAAAAAGATTCAACCCAATTTGATGTTAAACTGCCAAAAATTAGATTAACATGAAAGATGTACCCTTTTACCATGTAATTGAGTCACTATAATTCAGCTTTCTAAATATAGCGTTTTAAAGATAAGGGAAGTAGTGTATTTGATACAATAAATTCTTCCTCATATCAAATAAGTCTCATATAAGGCAGCTGTGATGCATACTGCTCATGCTCTCAATTACAAACTGATCCCATCAGTACTAAAATTATTAACCTAATGTGAAACTCCGGCTAAAGTGAAGCCATGTCTTTCAAGGGAGAGGGGAGAAACTCAACAGAACTTTCACTCCACCTCAGATGCACTCATCTTCAGCTATCCTTATGAAAATTCATGACTATTTTGCACTTTGCAGTTGTCCACAAAAGATCAACTCTCAATGTGGTCCAGCAGCAGAGCCTCACGGGAAGTTAGATGAGGGCAATAACATATATGGTATAGTCTACATAAATAATAAATCAAAACTGACTAAACAAAAAGCTCTCTTCATTGAGTCTTCCTTTTACGGTGTCCATCATTCTCTCTACTTCTCCATCCTCCTTTCATTTATTGTCCTTTTTTTAACTCTTTAATTGAAAATTAATACTTTTTGTTCCCTAGCTTCTCTTTCTTTATAAGCAAGCACAACACCCCTTCCTGTTTCTTATTTCCACTCCCACTAGTTTGTTGTCATCTGTGACATGTGGACACCATAAATGTGGGGGAGGAACTTACTACTTATGTTATCTGAGTACCTATGAGCCCCAGTCATGGACTAGGACCGCATTCTGCTAGGCACCGTAGAAACAGAACAAAAAGACTTTAAACTCTTTGGGACAGGGACTAAGTAGAAGACAAGAGACAACAGATGATTCCAATGGGTCCAGGTACAGGAAACAGAGACACTATTGGTCACTGTGGTTTCAGCACACCAGCCACCTAGCCATTGTCAAGTTATTTGTTGCCATCACAGCAAAGGAAAATTTAAAGGAGGGATTTGAAGGAGGATGTGATAAATGAAGTGGGGGGTATCTCCCTTTAATGGGGACCCAACCAGCCAGCTAGCTGTAAAATCCCTCTTGGTAGCTGTTCTCTACTTGCTTTACTTGTAAAGGGTTAAAAAGTCCCCCAGGTTAAAAAAAAAAAAGTGGGCACCTGACCAAGAGCCAATGGGAAGGCTAGAACTTTTAAAAAAATGGGAATAAACTTTCCCTTTGTCTGTTGTTCTCTGGGCTGCAGGACATGGAGCATCAATGCTATAACCAGAAATGCTGTGTAGGGTTTGAACCAGGTATGAAAAAGTATCTTCCATACCTAGAAGAAATTATTTGGATAGGGAATGTTTAGTTAGACACAATCAGGTTTCTCTCTTATTTTGGCTTGTGGATCTCCTCTGTGCTAACCCCTGATGCTTTTGTTTGCTTGTAACCTTTAAGCTGAGCTCCCAAGAAAGCTAGTTTGGGTGCTTAATTTTTGGAATTGCTCTTTTAAAATCTAGCAAAAGCCTAAGTTCTTGTATTTTTTTCCTTTTTGTTTTTAATAAAATTTACCTTTGTTAAGAACAGGATTGGATTTTTGGTGTCCTAAGAGGTTTGTGCATATTGTTTGATTAGCTGGTAGCACAGCTAATTTCCTTTGTTTCCTTTCTCAGCTCTTCCCCGTCCAGGGGGGTGGGGGTGGGGAGGGTTGAAAGGGCTTGAGGGTACCCCACAGGGAGGAATTCCCAAATGTTCCTTCCTGGGTCCAAGAGGTTATTTTTGCATTTAGGTGGTGGCAGCGTTTACCAAGCCAAGGTCAGAGAAAAGCTGTAACCTTAGGAGTTTAATACAAGCCTGGAGTGGCAAGTATAATTTTTAGAATCCTTGCGGGCCCCCACCTTCTGTATTCAAAGTGACAGAGTGGGGATTAGCCTTGACAGAGGATAATGAGGTAGTTTGTGGATGTTTATGGGGAGCTTCTCCCAAGTGTGAGGGGCAGCATGGAAAAACCACAAAGGTGCTTGTTTGAATATTTAACAAGTGAGCGAGGGAGGCTGGCATCCTTGGGAGGCGGAGGTCAACCTTTCAGTAGTAAAGGAGAGATGATAGGCAGGGTCGGGATAGGGTGCGAAGGGCCTTGTAAGTGAAGACAAGTAGCTTATGTTTGATGCAATAGATAAGAGGGAGCCAATGAAGGGAAGCAGTCTGGTGCCAGGCCAGAAGCCCATCCCTGGTTCTAGGGTGCCAAGCCTAAAGTATCTGGACCAGGGTGGGATTTACTACCAACCTTTATTTGTAGTAAGGCATGATAGCTCGGACACTTTGTGTCCATCCCCCAACAAATAAACTAGACTTTTTAAATTATAGAGAAATAAATATCTATATAATGCCAGTTTTATTATATATTAATTCATATCTCAAAAAGGATTTTTAAAAATCGAATGTGTCTGTGGAATGTTCCACACAATATTTTCTAATAGCTTCTGATATTTAAAAGATAGCTATCATAACAACTAGATCTAGAAACTAGATTACTTACTGTGCATGCAAAGTAATTACTTTGGTAGATGATTTTTCTTTTAGTATTAATGCTTAAAGTTGTCTTTAGAGGTATTTACATGGTTTGAATTAGTACACAATCATATTAGGGAAGTAGGATATATTTTCAACATCTTCTGTGAATAGTTCTATTGAGTCAATATGAAATTTGTTAAGCAGAAGAGGGCCAAAACTGAAATAAGTAAAATTCTACTCCATCATTAACTTTGGGGTTTACATGCAGTGGGACCTGGATCTAAACAATCCATAGTTTACAGAATCAAGATCTGATTGAATAGGTTTTCCAAAGCCACAATAATCCCCTGTTTTCCCATCTCCACTATTAGAAATACCCCAAGTTTCCCAAAACAGCATTAAGATAATGTACTGTAACAGCTCAAAAGGGTAGCTATATTTTATCACACCAACCCACACTACTCCAAAGAACGGTCTATGAAAAGCAAATACCGTAAGAGAAAAATGAAACAAATTCAAAGAACATTAGAGTAAGGTTAAGGCTGACATACAGAGAAACAACAGTAAGGAAATTCCAAGTCAAGTACATCTGTTCATCCTTACATCTCCCATTGTTTGTATTACTTCAGATACTGTAGGAATCTCAAACGTGTGTGCTGCAGCACCTAAGCACAATGGGACACACTTAAGATGGAGTTTCAGTCTCTTATTTTGAAGCCTTTTGCTAGTGTCAGTCTCAATTACTTTGTCTTTGTGAATAAATCTGAGCTAATGGATTTCTATCCCTGAAATCGTTTGACAGGTGAAGTTTAAACTATTATTTTTTAACCAGGGAGAATCTTATTTAATTTCAAGAGCAATTCATACAAAAGAAATCCCATCTAGCAAAATATCAAAATAAGATGATGTTACTATTTGACAATGGCAATGTCAAGTGGTTTGGCATGGATTTACATCATGATAGTTACTGAATAAGGGGCCTAATACTGAAAGGTATACGCCAATTGGTGTCAGTCATTTCAATAGGAATTCAGCACTTTGCAGGATTCAGTACTAAGTGACTACTGGATCACAAGTAAACAGAGTAAAATGCTTCCATGCATTATTGACCATTATTTTTTGGAAGAGAATGTATGGGGGTTTTGTTTTGTTTTGTATTCTTGCAAAGCTTTACGTTGGTTCTTTCTATTTCTCAACTTCACTGTACTTGTCCTGTACATTAAATTGCTTTCATCACAGCCCGATCACAAATAATCATTAGTTCCCTTAGAAAATTAAAGACAGAAATGTGTTTTATGTATCCATATTTCAGGCTTCAAAGCCATCTTAAATAATGGCACAAGATTCCTGACAGTATCATCACATGATATGAGATATAATTGCACAATTCCTTGGGGCTTGTCAAAATTCTCCTCATATCACATATTAATCAGAATGATGTTGATGTGCTCCATTTTTGAATGCTGCCTGTTTACAAGACAGCTGCAAATTTCTTAATAACCAATGTTTAAATACGAACATCAAGATAAAATGCATCTTTAACAAAAATACTCAGGTTATTTTCTTTCATGTGCAGATATGACAATACAGAACCTCATCTCTTATAATGCAACTTTGGGCTTCTAAATAAAACAACAACAACAAAACCCAACACAACAATGACCCTCAAGAAAGAAGTCTGATTTTAAAAGATACTTCAGAATCTTGTCAGAATTTATTTTATATTATATATAAAAAAAATTTGGCTAAGGCATATACAATTTTGGTCATGTTTTCCAGATTATGTAAGCCCTTGAATGGTGAAGCCCCTCCCCCCACACACTCTGTAGTTGTAACAATGAGATGGCTGCAGGGCTCCCAAGGTAGAGAATTGGACCATACCTTCATGGGTAGGTTCTGGGTCGGGGGTAAGTGAGATGTCATCCAGCTCGCGCAGGCAGAGCCATTCTCCATCCATTGACACTCGGAATTTGCAAAGATAGATGGTCTCCATGGCAGCCTGCGTGATCTTGTCTGTAGTGGGGGTTGGCATATCGCTTTGAGGCGTCAAGGCAGACATGATGACTCAGCTGGCACAACAAAAAAGAACTAAAAGGAAAAACCTTCTGAGGAAGATAATAAGAAATACCTTGCTGTGTAGCAACAAATATGCTCAAATCACACAAACTGCAAAATCTTTTTCATATATACAGCAAGGTATAAATGATGCTCCTCTTCAGTTTCCTCCTCCTTTCTCTTCCCCAACTATCTTTTTCTTCAGCTGTGCTAGATGCTATTAATCCTAAGCAACCACAGAAAACCTGGTCACTGCATAAAAGAAAAAGCTTCCTTTGCTAGTTACCAAAACTGAGAAAAGAAAAGCCAAAGTAATATAAGTCTATAGGAATAGATAGAATTGCTAGAATCACTACTAGTCTCTTTCTCCCCCAGAGAAGCCAGGACACAGAGTGCTAATAGGACTGGTTGTGCGCAGCAAGCAGGGTGTTGACCAAAATGGCTGACTAATGAACTGAACTGAAAATTCAGACTCATGTGACCAGCTGCTCAGATCGTAGGGCAAGCAATTCCCAGGATGCTCTATAGATGCTGCTGATGCAGGGAGAGCAATTAGGCTGATCTTGCTCTCACCATCCACAGCCTCTTTTCAGACTACGCTAGTCAATCTGCGATCAGGCATAACATAATGCACATATTTCTCATCAGTCCCTCTCATAGTACAAAGGAGTGGAGTGTCTATTTGATGACTACAAAGAGAGATTTGTATTCCTTTCACGTGCCTGGGTGCTTCTATATAAATCAAATTGGGTGTGCAAATTATGATTGAGAACTAGCTTCCAGTGAGTTTAAGTTTCTCAAAAACTACCTTTTAAACTGAACTTTCCCAACTAAACAAATATTACATGGATTTACCCTCTCAGATAGTAAAACAAATTTGAACAAACCTTCTAATTTTAAGTGTTTGCAGTGCATCATTGACCCAGATTTTAGCCTCCACTTTTTTTGTGGTATTATACATTATAAAGGCCAGACTGCTAACTAAAAATTAAAATTCTCCATTAAAAACTGGTGCAACTTTGGGTAAATCCAAATAAAAGCTGTTGCCACTGAACATGAAGGAAAAATTGAAAGATACTTTTTAAAGAACAAACTGGTAACCCTGCCTGGTACCTTTCAGGCAATTTGACTCCTCGTGCCCTTAACCTTAACATGCCTCCCGTGAGGTGGGAATTGCAGTCTGCTCTGTGCCTGACACCTTCTACCCAAGCTGGTACCTCAAGAAATCAGTGATCTCAAGGTCACTGCCTAACCATGGTAATCTACATGACAGGACATAACCACCACTTAAGGTGTATATATAAACATACATACATACATATAAACACCAGACAATAACCTCATGTGGTATTTAATAATTTTAAATAAGATTTATATTAATTCCAGTCCTCCGTGACTGTAGTGTTACATATGAATGAACTGCCCCCACATCAACACAATAGGGCAACCTAGAGGCATTTTACATTTAAAACTACATGAATAAAAAAGTATTACATAGAAAACTGCCCTCCTACCCAAAATCAAATTTAAACAGAAACACCTGAATGTTTAAATGCACAGAAATGTTAGTAGTTTGAACGGCAGAAACACATGACATTTCACTACAAAATTCAGTTCCCCAATAAGTATGTCTCAAAAAAGGGAACAGAAAACAGTCACCAAGTTAAAAGAACAGGAGTACTTGTGGCACCTTAGAGACTAACAAATTTATTAGAGCATAAGCTTTCGTGGGCTACAACCCACTTCTTCGGATGCACCAAGTTAGTTTTCACTGTATTTATGGAACTGGGGGGGGAAGTCAGCAATAGTTTACAGCAGTTATTTCTAACAACAGGCAAAGAAAAGAAGTTGCTTACCAATATTTACCAGGAGTGTGACAACTGATTAGTTAGAATATGTACGCAGTCCCCTTTAAGGTAAAATAAATAGTTCTCTAGTGTATTGTTACTGTGATATAATACACACAGCGCACATGGCAAAAATGATAGGTAGCTTTCTGAGAGAAAGCAACTCTTTTTTAAAAACACTAACAGTAGTTTACCATGTTGATGAAAGAGTATAAAAACTCGGCAAATATCTCCAGTTTTAAATGTTTGGATTTTATCACCACCACCACCCTGGACAGTGAAACTAGACGGGTCAGTCTCTTTATTTAGTCAGTCTTGTTTTCAGGTTCAAATACAATATCATAATACTTCAATGTTTATACTTTAAATACCAGAGCGGAATGTTTGAACAACAAAACCACACAAAATAAGCAATATAATTTTTTTTTGTTAAACCTAATTTTGCTTCGTTGGTTCTTTTAATACAAAACCTGAATTTTGACCAATAGTGGTTCTTAAATGGCACTTGTAACATATGCCACTTAAAAAATAAAAAAAATCAATTTTACCTTTGTAAAGCTGTCCTACCTTTTTAAAAAATAATCTCAACTACACCTGGCCTAGAAACTAATTATTTTATCCAGTCATCTTCAATAAAGAATGGACCCTTTGAATATTTTATTTGAAAGGTTGGCAGAGTTATTTTTAAAGGTATTTGATGCATGTTTTTGAATCCCTGAGAATTCTTTTAGTCTGATACAGACTAACTCGGCTACCACTCTGAATTCTTTTAGCGTTCTCTGGAATTGGTATACATGAAAGTTCTGGTTGCGTCCTGACCTTTTATTTAAAAAAACCGTTTAGACCTTTTCTTTGCAAATATATTCTAAGTGTAAGTTGATATCGACAACATTCAACATGAATGAACAGCATGGCTGCTAACAAAAGTATATGAGAAAAATCAGCTACTACCCTGAAGAGCAAAAACTGTAGTTATCTTTAAAAGAGCACTAAGGGGTGGACATCCTGGGATTCACTGCCCAGAGAACCTTAATTTAGTACCAGGAAAATTGTTTGAAACAACTAAAAACAGAGCTATAAAACAAACATGTTCACACAATACAAAAGGGGCAAACATGGCTTCTGTATATGAACATCGTGCCTCAAAAGCTATTAGAATAGGGAAAAAATGATAAATATTTTTTGTTTTTCCATGAACACTTTGATATGAAAAACAAAGCAAGCACAGGGCAAGAGGTAAAACTTTATTATGGCTCAGAAACTGGTCAAGGGAGAGGAATTATTTAAGTTCAGTACCAATGTGGGCACAAGAACAAATGGATATAAACTGGCCATCAGGAAGTTTAGACTTGAAATTAGACAAAGGTTTCTAACCATCAGAGGAGGGAAGTTCTGGAACAGCCTTCCAAGGGGAGCAGTGAGGGCAAAAGACATATCTGGCTTCAAGATTAAGCTTGATAAGTTTATGGAGGGGATGGTATGATGGGATAGCCTAATTTTGGCAATTAATTGGTCTTTGACTATTAGCAGTAAATATGCCCAATGGCCTGTGATGGGATGGGATCTGAGTTACTACAGAGAATTTTTTCCTGGGTGTCTAGCTGGTGAGTCTTGCCCACATGTTCAGGGTTTAGCTGATCGCCATATTTGGGGTCGAGAAGGAATTTTCCTCCAGGGCAGATTGGCAGAGGCCCTGGGGGGTTTTCGCCTTCCTCTGCAGCATGGGGCATGGGTCACTTGCTAGAAGATTCTCTGCACCTTGAAGTCTTTAAACCATGATTTGAGGACTTAAATGGCTCAGACATAGGTTTGATACAGGAGTGGGTGGGTGAGATTCTGTGGCCTGCGTTGTGCAGGAGGTCAGACTAGATGATCATAATGGTCCCTTCTGACCTTAAAGTCTATGATTCTATGAAAACAAAGTATAGGACTAAATGGTGAAGGAGGCTAATAGTGGGTATCACTTCGTTAAGCTGGAAGTAGCTATAATATGTTAAAGGTATTGCAAAAATTCTGGTATTATAAAAATATTTGAAAGCTAGGAATTTCAGATCAAAGATTTAAGCAACTGACAAACACTACAGTTCTGTAAAAAAAATTTAAGACAAGAATTTAAAAATTAAGTTCAATTTTATTAAATGAATCAAACATCTGAAAGCAAGCCAATCCATTCTACCATTACTATTTAAAATGTTAACTTTAGATAATAGGACTTACTTTAAACTTTGGTCCTGCGCATTAAATATCAACTAGATTAGTCCAATAGGGCAGGCCAATATTTTTCTTTCCTCTCCTTTCTTTTTTATTACAAAGTGACAAAAAGAAGAACTTTTTGAACTCCGGTAAGTACCTCTACTTTTAAAGTGACAAATCAGGAATCCATTGTCCACTTCAGATGTAGAGGAATGAATTCTAATTTACGCACAGACCTCACATATTACTTCTAAAGGCAATACTTAGTGTGACATTTTAGTTCAGAAGCCAAAAACTAGGCTTGCAATAAAAACTGAGTTACGGCCTTAACCATACAGAGCCTACCAACTCGCCATAAAGGGGTTTAGAATAAAATGGCAAAGTTTTGGGATGACAACATTATTTTGGTTATTCAAGACGGGAGAAGACTAAGGAATTACAAAACAACCGACCAATGCTAGGTAAATGTACAACACTGACAGATGAGATTCAATGAAGATAAAGTACTCACATACATAATAATGGGCTCTAAATTAACTGTAACCACTCCGAAAGAAGATCCAGGCAACACTGCAAACAACAGGATAAAATTGTGACGCATATACGTCTACAAGTTTCATGGCGTTAGAAAGCCAACCACTACCTGCCAGGAATCAGGAAGAAGTTTCCCCTACAGACAAGTTACTCCATACTTTTCACCATAGGGTTTCTTGTGTCCCCCTCTGATGAATTTATATGGCCACACACAGGCTATAAGACTAGACAGGACATCAGTCTGATCCAAAAGGGCAGCTCCTATGTTTCCAAATTAAATAAATCCTGATAAAAATCAGTTTTCCCCATTCCCCAGCTATGCCACTTGCAGATGGAACTACAACCTTGATATTCTGTTCCTGGTGTCCAATATCTTTTCCTTCACCTTTTAACTTAGCGGGATATAGAAAGGCAGGTGGCAAAAAATCACCCTTTGCATGATTTCCCTGATATCTCTGCTCCTGCTTTCAATGTTGTACCTCAATGACAATGGCAGCATGCCCCCCCCCCCCAGTTCAAGAGTTAATATATCTTCCACACACATCGTTTTGGGGAGTGTATCTTTTCTGCATAAAATATTCACCAGCCAACCCGCTCTATAGGTGACATGCTATAGGATAATCAGTCCCCACCCTGAATGTGGGCATAGGCAGGATCCAACCCTTCATTTCTTTGCTGCAGTAAGACAGGCAGCCAGGATTTTCACTTTCCACATAGGAGGCACACGTGCAGTACGTCTCCTGCAATTTGAGTCCAGCAGGTTAAAAATATAAAAGGGCAGGAGTGGAGAAT